GATATAAATCTGATAAAACAAATCAATATAGGATAACATACCATCACAGTGCCCATATCTCACATATGTATCATTTTGTAGGGCATTACTAATCTACTGCAAACATACTGGAATAAGTTCTCGATACCGCTTTTATTTCGCCAGTAGGTAATCACTTGTGGAACAATAATACAGTATGTAACTTACTCTCTCTTACCACCGATGTAGGATAACTTTCAACGAAGATACACGCTCAAATTATTCAACCAAAACTCAAAAAATCAAACCATTTGTCCCAAACAGACCTATACTAAGGCCAAAATTGTTGAAGATACCGCACTGATCCATAATTCTTCAGTTTCGAGGATATCCGGGGTTTGAACACCAAAAGCCCGACCGCTGAATACCAAATGGCTCTCAGCTAGCAAAAAATATGCACCCAAAAAACATACAACAGTCCAAAATGGACTAAGAGCGGTTTAATTTACACAAATATGCAAAATGTTATTAAACTAAACTTTAGCATTTGAAGGCACAGTATTTTGTGTAACACCCTCAATTCCCAGTTTTTCAAAATTGCTCTTATATGTGTGCAAAGTGAATGTATTTTTCAGTGACATGAAATCCTGGCTTAGTGATGTGCGCACAGCTCATTTAGGCATGTGTTAAAATGCTGAGTAACACTCAAGTGCATTGCTCTCATCGGTATCGAACTTCACAGAACTTGGTATTAACATTAGAAACTGTCTAGGAAACCAATTAGTTAGGCTGCTTGAACAGATTCGAGACCTCTTCAAGTTGTCTTCAGCCAGATATAACGTCCATGGTTGTTGCGTAGCTACCAATCCTGCTAGAATTGAGCTCCAGCTACACTACCTGCTGACTCTTTAGCCTGGACCACCCAACCTAGTGGTCAGACTGCCCTTAACGCCACCCCAACCAGCGAAGGGAGAATGTAAAACCCACGGCTGCTGAAAGATATATTTGCTGACGATGATTTTAAGACAGAGTACAAGTAGATAACCACACGAAGCAGCAAATCATATTGACTACAACGTGTTTAAATCCGGATGGACAAACAAATTGATCATTGATGGTGAAACGATTGAGATTAAATTGAGTTGGCGAAATTCTTGGATCCCCTTCAACTCAGTATTTAATTCATGTCTAAAGAGTTAATTCGTTTGAACAGTGATCTATTTAGCCAGGTATTTCCAGTTGATACAGAGTTATAATCCTGAGAACTGTTAGAGTATTTTGCAAAATGAGAGTTCCCGCAGCACGAAGGGAATAAAAGCAACTTTCACGTGAGTCGTTAGGCAGTGAAAATAAATTCCTCCACTATCACCATTTAACACTGATCTATTATGAATCTGCAACGTGCCTGTAGCATCAAGCACCTTGCTATCAAATGCTTTCTAATCTATTTTTCATTTTCTTGAGGATTAGACAATTTTTTACCCGCCTTCAGTTGTTGCCTTTGTCATTTGCTTGAATTCAAGCGTCGTTAACTGATCGTCATCTCGTAAAGCCACTAAGCCTTTTGCACTTGGACGCCAGATAACCGCAGAACTAAAGGTTTGTAATGTATTTATCGAAGAAAAATTTCGCGGAGTCTGAAACGTCTCAGCCTTAATTCAACTTCGTTTGCAACAGTCTGAACATGTGATTTGCATATCAGGTTGAATTATGTGAGCTCATGTCTTCATCGCCAGATGTCTCCGTATTCGACTGTAATAGTACATTTTCCATGAGACAGTAGTCGTACTTTCGTTCAGTACTCAGTAATAGTAGTTTGTCTCCCGCAAATGTGCTGGCACTTGCATGGTTAATATTAGCTTTTACAAGCACTTGTAGAACATACCCGTTCCACCAAATTCCCGTATCTTGGTAAGCGAATTCATATAATGATCAGATAGGCATCGTTCGGCCTTAGGGAGTGTATACTCCGTGAACTTGCTACTGGTAGTGCTTTTTGGCTTTCTCACAGTAACACCGTGGGTATTTGTAAGGAACCCAAATCCCGGGAGTGCCATTTGATTGGATCAGAAATGATGGACTCATCCAGTTTACACAATAGTTCATGAGGATCTGCTGACCGCTTGTCATATTTTACAGTGCCTACACGCTTCCGTTCAGTTTTCGGCGTGGCAGCAATGTTTGCTTTGACTACAGTCACATGTGTTTTGTGCCTGTGCTTATATTTCACTTAATTTCTGAAGTGAATTTCTTTCTACCGTTTACTTTTCGTCACCTAAACAATCACTTGTTGGCTTGTTTCCTATGGAGTCATCATCCGCTGTCGTGCTACCGAATCATTTGTGACTGCCCATGGCATGCAGCAAACCTGGTTATCCATAACAGGTTTTGTGCTTGGTGCATGGTGTAGGTATTATTTTCGTTTCCCCAGGAGTCTCGAACAACTAACCATCCTTGAATTCGGGGTTATTGAAACCAACATAAGGGTGAGCTTCATGATGGCAATAATAACCTCTTTGCGAGAAGTGTGGTTCACATTTTAAATCATAGCCGTATTGCCAAAAAGGTTACATGGCAGCACTTACTAGGCTCCATGCCTTTAATTTCAAAATATAGGTCCTCTTGATCAAACTTACCTGTGGTGAGTAAATGTACTGCACATCCGTGGTACAAGTTTGTAGCAGCGTCTGTATGCTGCTGACCATTAAGCGATACATATCTAGTGGTGCCATGTGCGGTAGTTATCACACTGCATATCTTCTACAGGAAATGAACAACCAAGTCTACCAACTATGATTAATAAGATCCAGAGGAATGTATATATATTTTGTGTAAATGGCAACATCTTTGCAAATATTGATTTGAACGGCTAGTACTAAGTCACAGTGACATGAGAAGTTTTCGGTGAGGTGAAAACAAAAAAAGATAATCTTTAAGAGCGTTCTGTTAACTTTTCATAAATACTAGAAATCCACACACTAATTTAATTTCACTAATTTCGCAGATTTCACCAACTGATGTCTGTTGGCTTAGTTGCTTGCAGAAATATCATTGAGAAAACATATCTAACCCTTCACCTATTTTCATAACTTGACCATTTTCTCATACATGAACTTCAGGAATAAGACATTTAATGGTGTCCCGAACCTGACTATTGACAATGGCACAATCGAAGAAGATCAAAAAATAAAAAAGCAACGGCAGACTACTTCTCTAAATTCGATACAAACGAGTCGTCACCCGCCATAGGATCAGCTCTGGCTGCACTAGAGGAACACAGATTAGATTCCGTTGACATCGACCAAGACATTGTGCTCAACTACCTAATGAAACTAGATGCAGGGAAATCAATGGGTCCTGATAATCTTCATTCAAGGCTTCTCAAGGAGCTATCAGCTCATAATTAGCCTACTGACTACGATTTTCAATCTATCTCTCCTGAATGAAGTGTTGCGCCTTGACTGGAAAGACGACATAGAAACCCCCATCCACAAAAAAGGATCAATACAAAGCCTTTCAAATTACAGGCGTGTTAGTCTTTCCAGCATTTTAATCAAGACACTGGAAAGAATCATCAAGAAGAGTATCATGGCATATCTGAAAAACAACAAATTGTAATCCAGAGCACAGCATGGCTTCCGAAGAAACCTCTCATGCCTGTCCAATCTCATCACTGCAAGAGAAGGCTGGGTCAAATCAAGGGACAACAGAAGACCAGTTGAGGTCGTCTTCATAGACTTCAGCAAAGCCTTCAATAAAGTTCCTCACAAAAGACTACTCATGAAGTTGGAGAGTCTTGGAATAGAAGGCAGTTAACTTAAATGGCCTAAGGGATTCCTCACAAATAGGAGGCAGAGGGTTAGGATCAACTCGAAACTCTCCTCTTGGACAGCAGTACGCAGCGGAGTGCCACAAGGCACGGTACTCGGACCTTTCCTATTTATTTTGTATATCAATGTGTTATCTCTGCTCACCGACTACCCTATAGTCCTATACGCAGATGACTTAAAAATTTGGAGAGAGCTGAAGGGCAACAGTAACACGTCCACGTTGCAAGAGGACCTCAACAAATTGTCAGAGTGGTCCATAGAATGGATGCTCCCGATAAGTGTGGCGAAATGTGCAACCATGAGCACTGGACAAGCAAGCGTGAGCTCCTATGAACTAGAGGGAATTACACTTCCACCAGTTCAGACTCACTTGGACTTAGGTGTCATAGTTTGTCACAGTTTAAAAACTGCAACACACTGTGGCGTGGAGGTTGCACGTAGTTTCAGATCCTTATGGACAATTTGCAGAGCCTTTACTAGAATCGCCAGAGATGTGTTTATCTCCAAATATACATCTCTGGTTAGGTCAAGACTAGAAAACAGTATCCAGACAGCCAGTCCTTGTTTTAAGGGGGATTCACATATTCTAGAAAGGGTCCAAGGGAAGGTAACGCGTATGGTTTCGGCATGAATAATTTATCATACGAGGAAAGACTAGACAGCTTAAATCTCTTCTCCCTGTCATACCGTAGGTAGAGAGGAGATTTCATCACAATGTTTAAAATTTTAAATAATGACTGCGGACCTGACTTATTCTCTCTTTTCCTTCCCAACAGGTCGAAACATCTTAGAGAACATAGCAGGGGAGTTAAAAAGCCAAAAAGAAGTCATGTTGCTGTTGAGTACTGGTTATCACACTAAGTCATAAACTCTTGGAACCGACTCCCAGAAGAAGTGGTGTCTGCAACCTCAAATGATTCATTGAAGGAGGGTTTGGACAACCACAGAAATTTACTCGAAAAGGATTAACTTAAGCTCCAAGCCTTTTATCCTCAACCAATATATGTGAATTTGAAGTTTGAAATCATTTCCCTGCTTATGATGTATAATAGAAAAACTGCAGTAAGTAATCACTCCTTAGAGCTAAATGTATTAAAACTGTTCGGAGTGACACAGGTGAAAAAGTTATTGCGTCTTATGAGCAAAAGCCACTAGATTAAAGATTAAGTTTCGTTATGCATATTGAAGCCATTTAGTTTCGACCTTGTTCGCGGTGACTTTTGGATCTCAAGCAAAGGCGGGAAGGCAAAGGTTCATATTCAAGTGTGTTTAGGATAAAAGGTTTGGAGTCTACGTTAGTCCTTTTCAAGTAGATTTCTATGCTTGTCCACGAATTCCTCGGTTAATTTAAACTTTAAACATTAGTAATAACCAACGGACAGATGACTTTGAACCAACCAACCACATGAAAAGGCTATTTTCACAAATAAAATACTTATATTCCTGAAAATAATGATTAAAAATGCGTGAAACTAACTTTTTTCGATGCGTGACAGAAGTAGCTGTGTTTTAGACTGGAGTATCAACAGAGTAATTTAACTACATTCCATGCATGTAATAATCTAGGCCTCCTAACCCTAACAGGAACTCTTATCTTTCGTTAGCCTAACCCTAACGTGAAAATATCCCTAAACAAAGCTTATTCTAGCTCATACCAACCATAATATCGCCCCTTTTAGGTTAACCTAACACTAACATGTCCTAAGCCTCAACATTAATCTGAGAATTACCAGATATCTCACATGATAGCAAAACACTTCATTAAGTATAGTTTATTCACGATGGTAATGTTATTTGCTTAGCTTTCTCTAACTTGCATGTTGGTGTGGTCTCACTGCCGTGGTACTCACTGGTGCTTAAAGTTTAACTTTCCGCTCTACGTATTGCCCATAAAACTCTGGAACTACGACAGTGTGCTGTAGTTTTTAAGTCGTGATTTACTGTAGCACCTAGATCCCTATGAGTTCGAACTGATGGGAGTGTTATTCTCTTTAGTTCGTACGAGCTGATGTTTGTATGTCCAGTTTGCATAGTTGCGATTTCTCTACATTGATCAGGAGCATTCATTCTTTGGAGCGCTCTAATGATTTGTTGAGATCTTGCAATGTGAGTGTGTCATTATCTCCTTTAATCCCTTACCAAATTTTCAAGTCATCTGAGTGGAGGACCATAGGAGATTCGGTGAGCACGAGTAACTCATTGATATAAAAGATGAATAACGGGGGAGAGAAAGTACGGTGCCTTGTGGCACTCCATTACTTACTGCTGTTCAGAATTTTGAGTTGATCCTCACTCTGTCTCTTACGTATGGGTAATTCCCTAATCCAGTTTAGTAAGTTGCCTTTGATTCCAAAACTTTCAGTCTTTTGTGAGGTACCTTATTGAAGGCCTTGTCGAAGTCTGAGGGTAATGGGTCTTTTATTGTCCGTTGACTTGACCCAGTTTTCTCTTACCGTAAGAGGGTTTGTTCCCTGAAAGCCATACCGTGGTCTGGACAACAAGTTGTTTTCCAGATCTGCCATGGTAGCTTCCTTGATAATTCTTCCCAGCGTATCTATTAAGGTATTGGTGAGACTAATAGGCCTGTAGTTTAAACATTATCTCGATCCTCTTTTGTGGTTGTTGTCTTTCCAGTCACGGCGTAACACTTCATTCAGGAGAGATAGCTTGAAAATCGTAATCAGTAGGCTAATTATATGAGCTGATAGCTCCTTGAGAAGCCTTGTATGAAGATTATCAGGACCCATTGATTTCCTTGCATCTAGTTTCGTTAGACAGTTGTGCACGATGTCTTGGTTGATGTCAACAGAATCTAATGTGTGTTCCTCTAGTGCAGCCAGAGGTGATCCTATGGGGAGTGACGAATCCTGTGTATAGACTTTGGAGTAGTCTGCCATTGCTTTTTCTTGATCTTCTTCGATAGTGTCATTGTCAATAGTCAGGTTTGGGACACCATTAGATGTCTTATTCCTGAAGTTGATGTATGCAAAAACTTTCTTAGTTTGTGCCATTGCATTTCGAACTTTACCACTGATCGTCAGATTTGTGCAATAGATTTGTTCCTGATAACAATGTACGACTTTCTGACCTCAGAATTCTCTAATGTGATAAACAGGTTCCAGCATTTATGCTTACGCTTGAGTAATGTAGAAATCTGTTGGTTTATCCTGGGGGGGGGGTAGTGTTTTCGACCCTTTGAGACAGAACAAGGGATTGAAGATTGTGATAACTAAGCGTGAAGTTGCTTTAATTGTCTCCAAGAAACTTTCACGTGAGATTCTGGATCTATGTGCAAGTCCTGTGATTCGGCCGCTAAGATGATGGAGTTTTTATCGGCTTTCTAGGCGTTTGTTCGAACTGGGGTTTCGCCCCATGGTACTGCTGTGGCTGTGAACTTGAAAGTGAGCACAACATGATCACTTCTCCCCAGGAGTAGAAGACTTTTAATGAGGTTCAGACCCTACCCATAGGAGAAAGCCAGATCCAGTGTTGAGGAGGAAAATTGTGAGTCATGGCGCTTAGGCTTCATGACATTTTATACTAGAGGTAGTGAAAAAGTGGATCCTAACATTTTATGATTAAAGCAATTTTGTGAAGATGGCGTTTTAAGGTTAGTCCAGCCAACTGTTGGGGAGTTCAAGTTACCGACAACGAGACTCCGACATTTGGATGTTCATGAGCCTGGTTTCTTTACTAGAAAGTCGTCTACACTGCAATCGGAATTGCGCAATATATAGCAAATGAAATCAATATCTTACCGCATGCATTTCAGTCTCCAGTGTAGAAGCTTGCATGCCCCACTTTCGTGTGCGTTAGCCTCAATACTACACAAGGTTAGGCACTTCTTCTTCCTGGCGGCCTGCCCTATGCACCGTGAAGTTTGGGAGGTAAACTGCATTGTCGGTGAAATCGGATGTGAGCTATGAATCTTGACAAATTCATTAAGTCCCGCTTCGTTATCGCTAATTTGGTTGTTTCGAATTAATTATACAGCCATATAACCGCAAGTATATCGCCGTGTGAAGGATACACATATATTTCATATTCTTTGTCAGTTGACCGCTACTGATGGAATTATAAAGTTGAGACACCTTCCACTTCCGTCAATGTAAGGAATCCCACGTCAGGGACATTTAAAGTCTACTTGCGCGATATTTTCTTGGTAATTACCGACAAGCACCTCTCAATATTAATATTGGAAGGCCGGTCGGTCGGTTTTCGACATAGAACTTTGCACATATGTGCGGCAGTTCAAGTCTCTACACTCCCTCCTTGTAGCACACAAAGCAAGAGAAGAAAGTAGGAGAAATGCATAACATAGACAGTAAACAGAGGTGTGAGACAAAGGTATAATAATAACGAGGAACAAAACAGTTTCATTGGAAATCATAAGTCACAAGGAGTGGATGCATCTGCGCCACTGAGAACGATTTTGAGCCATGTCACCAATTGTTTCCAACCATTCGTTTTTACCGTCCCGAGGACTCCAACCAGGAAGTCGTAACTTGGTAACTGGTCATTGGATAATATGGTCCCAGAATCGCCATACTCAATATGTAGGTACCGCAGATTTCTAAACAACGAAGAATAATCATCCGATAGTTGATTCTGGTAATGTGAACTAACCGGTCCTGTGGAGTGCTTTCAGTCTTGAATTTATTCTTCATGTTATTACCTGAACCAACTAATCTCACTTTAACTGCCTTTGTTTCGATAATTTTAATATGTAGTTCGCTAGTCTTTGCATTGTGTATCTTTTTGAAGTGGCAGAAGCTTGTCTTTGCCCTTATGTCTTTGTTTGAGCTGTCTATTCAAGGATGGACTTCTTGACCTCAACTTAAGTTGTGCGTACTATTGTGTTAATTGCAAAGAACACTTAATCATCATTATTTCATTGTTAGTAGTGAGGCGTTCTAAAACTTTAGAGAAATATCTACTTATGTTTGAATGGCCTATTATTTTAAATAATAGCGCACGCACTAAATGTTTAAAACAGTTAGATGGTACTCACTGTTATACTAAGTATGTTCGCTGTTTTTCATGCTCGAACTCACCTTCATCTCTTGACATTTTAGCAACCAGGCAGTGTTATCATATCACACAGCAGGTGTGGTTCATTGCTGCGAAGTCTGTCTGCGTAGATGTATTTGATTCTCAAGTTATTTTTCATGCAACCTTTTGGATAGGTGATTAGTTATCAAGCTACTACTCAGCACTTAACAACAAACGCTTATCATCTCACAAGTGCGCACAATTCCAGGATTTCAGCTTGTTATCAGAGAAGGAGTACAAGGACATGATAATTCTTATAGGTAGATGGTTGGGTTTCGTAAATGAAAGACGATACAATAAGACTAGTTCATACTGACCCCCCTGATTTGAAGATGGAGAGTAGTATTGACCATGTCACCTGTTTTAAAAGTTGAGTCAGTTTAAATAAACTGGTTGCTGACACTCTCAAAGTAGATACAAAAGACTGATCCACTATTCACTATCATCTTTTATGTTGAGCACATATCCGTCCTTTGACAGTAAGAATCTTCGTTTAGTTGTTAATATGAGATAGGGCAGCATGGTAAGTGATGAGAAGCGAACGTATATCACTCAGGTACCATAGCTTTGGTAAATGGGAAGAAGCTTAATACTGTGATCCATTTTGTTGGGGATCTAGTATTTTTACAAATGAACTAAATATTACAAGCCAAATCCGAGGCACACACGAATAGTGTACCTAGGAAGTGAAGCTTGAATACTTGTTTGCTAGGAATCATTTAGACACACACTTATGTGAAGGCCAAATTAAACTGGACAACGGGATTCAAAGCTGGTAAACCTTGCTTGCAAGTCAAACAGTGATTGTACCTGTAGCTGTCTAGTTTACTCTGGTTACAGAACCTACTGAAGCCGTTCCCGATTAGTGTGATACTGCCTTGCTCACACTGTTGTGCATATCGACTATTATTCTATTTGAATTCCTTCTGTTTTCACTGTGTTAGTTCCACGTCTTTGTACATACACTCCAACGACTAAAAGCAATAATGTAATTATGGTGGTTCTGGTTTTGTTGATATTGAAGTACAGAGTGAGCATTACTAAAATCTATTTGTTTATACGAGTTTGACCACGGATTGATATCAGTTAGAGAACTATTGAAAGCCAGCTGGGAGTACGGGACAGCTGTTTCATCAGCCTAGTTTGGGAATCATCGGCAGTACGCATTCACCATCAGGGTTCGAAGCCAGGACCTTCCGGTTACAAGGCCAGCTCGTATACCATTCAGCCACTGGGACCCGACTCAGTGGCCCATGAATTCTGACTCCTACCAATTCGTGATTTAGCGCGACCATCAACCAATATCATCGGTGGGAAATCCATCCTCACATTTGACTGGTTGGACCTCACTGGTGACGACTTCTCACTGGAACTCCAGGAAACACCGTCCTGTAGTAAATCACTAGTGAGTATCAGATTAATTTTCGAACACCAGTGGGTGAGTACTGCCGATGATTCCCAAACTAGGCTGATGAAACAGCTGTCCAGTATTCCCTGTGGCTGGTTTTCAATGGTTCTCTCCATGGTCAAACTTGTAGCTACGGCTGCATAAGCTGTATATGGGAAGCTTGTCTTATTGTTACTTCTAGTTTCGTCTCTGATAAATGGAGTTTTACAAATCAGACTGGGCAAAATCCCATTAGGATAAAAATAATCGGTAAAACGCCTTTGTATTGCTATCCTAACTAGGGTTTACAACCTTTCGATCAGATCATGCATCCATAAAAACGACATACATTGACTTTTTAAACACTGTTGAATTAACGTATTCCTCACAAATCTTAGTAATTTTTCTCCCGACCTTTTAGGACTATTCAGATGTCAAGCTTATCGAAAGACTGTAATAAATACTTTCACACAAAGAATCTATATGAAATTCTAGAAGTGGCTAAAGACTGTTCGAAAGCCGAACGTAAGTAGACTTGATGCCTGAAATATTCCATCCTATTTTTTATAGTTCGCAAAGCTTTCTACAAATTGTCTCTCGTTCATCATCCTGATCGTCATGACAACGACTCGAAATCGGAAGCAACGAAAAAATTTCAAGTATTGTCTAGAATCTATTCGTACTTAGATGATGATGAGAAACGCAAAATTTACGATGAAACAGGTTAGTTCCCTTCCCAGCTGATTTTTATTATCGTTAATTTCTTTTTTTTTCAAGGTGTAATCGATGAAGAAGATGAGATTGCTGGCAAATCCTATGATGATTGGTTGGATTATTGGCGACTTTTGTTCCCTAGAATAACACCCACACAGATTGATGAGTATCGTCAGAAGTATGTGGGAAGTGAAGAAGAAACTGAGGAGTTGATCAAAATTTACAATAGTTCTAAAGGAGATATGGATACTATAATGGAATCCTTAATACTGGTAAATTATGAAGATGAACCGAGAATCCGTAGCCTCATTGACAAACTGATCTCTGATCAGAGAATTAAAGCTTTCAAGAATTATACACATGAACCACCGGAGAAGGCAGCAAAAAGAGCGAAGAGAGCCTTACAGGAAAAGAAGTTGTTTGAGAAACAACAGAAGAATAATAAGAATAAGAAACTCAAGAAGAGTAACGATGATGACGGCTTAGATTCACTGGCCAAGGCGATTCAAAGTCGACATGCGAATGCATTACAGTCGTCAGAGAATTTTCTAGATAAGATTGCAGAGAAATACGCTGCAATACATTCATCGTCGTCTGCTGCTGCTAAAAAGCAAAAACGCAAGACAACGACGACGACTACCAGTGCTACTGCTGCTGCTAAGAAGAAGAAAAAATAAGCATCAACTCGTCTTTGGTAAAAAAAATTCTATTTTCTTCAATCAATCAATATTTCTGATAACAAGAGATCCCACATGTATATACACTCATTTTTATGTTCTTTGTTGGCTTTCAACCTTCTGTCAAAGAAAGAAATGAAAAAAAAAATAAGCAAAGATTTATAACTGTCTTAAACAGTATAATATGAAATGTATATATATACCCCTTTATATACGTTTTCTTAATATTAAAAGAATGTGTTGTCTTTTTTGGGTGTCACACTTGTCAGGAGACAGTTCCATTCAAGGTTTACAGAATTGCTTAAATATGTACACACACAGCTTAAGGTCTCGCTGTTCTAGCCAACAAGTAGTCTGTATTAGATGCGTAATAGTGATAGGCAAATGAAAAGTACCAGCTGTTATTTAAATTAGATTATTAAAAGTAAAGTTCATTGGCTTATACATTCTATTATCACTGAAACTCGTAGGTTTGAACGTATTCTGGAAGTAATTTGGTGGATGGGGTCTAGTAGTGAAATCCAGGATGCACATTTGTGGTTCATTATCATCATCTGAATGTACCTACCTACATTCCCCAGGGAGTGAGTGATGGTGTTTCTACTGAGACTCACTCGAACCCCAGTACCCATCGTTTCAAACGTTAAAGCATGGATAACCACTAGACCACCGCCTCTTGTGCAATAGGTGTCAGTTACTTATTTGATTTTAATTCAATGTGGACTTTCTCTTTGATTGAGTGGACTGAAGTGTCCGGTCTCTGTTGATATGTCGACTTGCTGGTGAGGAAGCTTCGACGATGTCCACCAAATTAATTCAAGTCCAAGCATAGTGAACATATATGAGTCAGATTGTTAAGCTGCACTATTATTATTATGATTATTATTTTGCACACGCATCACTGAGCATCAGAAAGCAAATGGTTCCCACAATTAATTGTACTATGCGTGCTTGGTAGGGGGCGGAGATTTCAGTAAAAAGCCGAAACAGACCCTCTAGAATAAATAACCTTCATCAGAGCATTAAGTTAGTTTGAAAGTGTTCTGTGTAAATTTACACAGTGGGTATACTCAAATGCAAAATATTTAACATGAAAGTATGTTTAAAAATATCGCATATAATTAAAGCATAAAGTTATTAATTAAATCTGAACTAGTATCCACATTATTGGACTGTCGTTAGACCAAAGATGACTGGCGACAGTCGACCTAGGTTTTGTGCTTGTTGGCACTCACTACCAGTCAACAAGAGGTACCTGCAATCATGAAAGAATTCATGTCCCTCCTGAAGTTCGAACCCGCGTCACCTAGCGATGCAGTCAGAGAAATTACCACTCAGCTACTCCGGTCCATGATCGACCTCATCTAGTTAGTAACTAGTCTCATACATCTATTCCATTGTTTGATGCAGGCTGAATTCTAACAGTCAAGTTTACAATGTGTCAACCATGCTTAGTTGGCTCAACACACCACGGTGCACTGTGAATTGTTATTATTAGATAGTTGGAGGTAATCGGCAAGGAAGCCTTCGACCTAGGTTTCGTGCTTGTTGGCACTCGTCACCAAGGCGCATTTATAAACTTGAAGGAGTTTATGCCCCTCCTGGGATTTCAGCCACCAAGAACTTTGCACCGATGTGCAGCAGTACAAGTCGCCACACTCCATGTAGCACACAAAGGGAAGGAAGAAAGTACAAGGAATGCAGAATAGAGACAGTAAACAGGGATATGAGACAAAACGAATAGTAATAATGAAGAACAATATAGTTTCATTGGGTAGTGTAAGTCACAAGGAGTGGATGCATCTGCGCCAGCCATTGAGAACGATTTTGAGCCATATCACCAATTGTCTCCAGCCTTCATTGATTTTTACTGTCCCGAGGACCCCAACCAGACAGGAAGTCTACACCTTCCTAGGTGGCTTAAACTAACTGTTGTGGATTTCATTGACTGATGAGGCCATGTTTTGGTTTGACCGCCGCTAGCTCTTTTCCAACCTGACCCTATGTCAGCTAACATTGCCCGTCGAGGAAGGCGATGGCTAGGCAGGCATATATAACACATGTCGTAACCATCTTAGTCAATGTAACTTCATAACCTCGTCGATTGATTTCCCGTCCTTACCAAGCACTCAACCAATGCCTAACCTCAATATTGCTTACCCTATTATACCACTTCACACGGGAGATAGAACGCAGGCACCTATGATCAAATACAGCTAGCCTTTTCACGTCCTCTGCTCTCAAAGGTCTCACATCCATAAAGGAGGACGGAGCGAACTGCTGACCATTACACACACCCTTTGGTCGACAGCCAGCTGGATATCACGTCTGCTGAGCTAGAGGCGGCGTAAAATGGCATATGCGAAACGAGCCTTCTGTATCCTTGCTGAGATTTCGTCAGCGATCAACCCGCTGGTACTGGCTGATGCAACTTCCCAAATAAGTGAATTGGTCAACGTGCTCTACCACTTCACTCCCTATTTCTAAGCTAGGAGTCAATGTAGTCCAATCCTGTAGCGTCATCTTACATTTGGCGGGAGCGAATCGCATGCCAAACATTAGCAGATTGTAGCTCAAGGCGTTCAGAAGACTCTACATTTTGTCAGCGTCTATATATATATATATATATATATATATATCGTCTGCATATTCTAAGATTATTCCCTGGCAAACGTGAGTGACAAAATTCAATGTCCACCAAGCAAAGGGCTAGATGTGTGGTACTAGTGACCAATTCAAATAATCGAAGTGTTTTCATATCATTTTTATGCACAGATTTATCTTCGAATTGTAACCATTTGAAAGAAAACAGCTTAATGGAATATTTAGCGAAACATTCCTTTTTCTAATCACCAGCAGGAATGCCAATGTCTTTGCCACATAACAGAAAGTACGTCTCCAAGCAATATTGAGTGGGAGAGATGCGTAAATTATTAAGTAACAAATGTATTGCACTCTGGCTAATTTATATCTGTTATAAAAAATAATTTCCAAACTTACAGCTTGAATGAAATCTATTATCTTATTTGGATCAGATCCTGAAGCGATATCGATTAGGTCAATTGGTAAACTATACTGGTTGGTTGTATTTGGACGAATTGTCTTGTCATTTTGGTAGCGAAATGTAGGAGTGGTATCCTATTGAAGTAATATGAATGAAATTGTTTAAAATGTGGAATTTGGATGTTTCTTATTTAAGCTAGTCTTCTTGATAGTTCACATGAACATGTCACTAGAATTACTTCTCAGGCAGATGGTTCTAAAATGTGAATAACTTTTCATTAGGAATTAGTCAGTCAGCCAGCCATCCTTGTCTCAAATGGTCTTAAGCTCTAAATTCCTTCAAAAATGTCAGGTTGTTAATTTCACTTTGAGACACCGGTGCAACTTACAAGAAGTGGTTTGTTCGCATGGTTCCACTATCTTTGATAGTATAGAAGTTGAAAATAGGTAGAATGTTTAAATACACACCTTGGATTGTGTATTTCCCCTTATCTTCCCACATCGTGTTAGCCTCTTGAATAATTTTAAATGAATCAAGAATAATAATGAGAATAATAATAATAGGTATAATTATAAGTAAAACGTATTACCATGGTAGATTCAGAGTCACAACCATCTCCTTTTGTACACAGAGACCTGGTTTGTAAACTCGAATTGCGCAAGTCACTGCAATTGCAAGCATCTTCTTGTTTCTTTGTCTGCTGACAATAGTGAATGACTTGACCGCGTCGATATCATATCCGTAATCCACAAGATGCTTCGACGCTGTCAATTCATTCACTATTGTCAGCAGACAAAGAAACAAGAAGATGCTTGCAATTGCAGAGGCTTGTGCAATTCGAGTTTACAAACCAGGTCTCTGTGTATAAAAGGAGATGGTCGTGACTCTGAATCTACCATGGTAACACGTTTTACTTATAGTTCTACCTCTTATTATTATTATTCTCATTATTATTATTCTTGATTCAGTCAAAACTATCCTTTATCAGTAGCATTATCTTAACTCACTTCAACACTATTATTATTATTGTTATTATAACTATTACTATTGACATCCCTCTTGAATGATATTTCGTTAAACCTTCTACGTTAGGAAGCGCTAAGAAAATCTGGTATCACTCAGTCAGTCTCTACTTCCTAAAGTGGTTAATTCTTGTATTCTAACTGTTCTTCTCAATAGCTCTCCCACTGTAATCTCTCCTCGACTACTTAAGATGGACTTTATTGCACTGCGAAAGGCACTAAAAGTTGCCAGCCAACCCATTAATACTGTTGTAGATAGGCAAACAGACTCCTGCAAGAAATTGGTGAATATTGTCTTGTAAAACCTTGAACATCCTCTCTGTACACAACTCTCTCTCTCTCTCTCTCGGTGCATCTCGTCAGGTAAAGCTAGAAGCAACTATGGAAAACTCGATGCTCCGACAACTAAATATAAATTAGATACAGTACTATACTATATGTTGAAAATACCATAAATGTGACAAAAGTACTGTTTGGAATAACGTTATTATTACTAACGCAAACCTAACTTAAATTCAGTAAGAACTATACAAATATAATCTATTTGACTTGGTGTACTTAGAACACTTTGACATCAAAAATGTAATACTACGTCCATTAGTAAAATGTTATTATTATTCCCTTGCGTTCCGAGTGGAACATAAGGAGGGCTTCAACAACACATCTCCATTTTGTTCTGTTTTCTGACGTCCTCTTCAGCTGGCTAGCTCCGCGATTGATCAAACTCTCTCATCTCTTCCTCCAACACGATCTCCTCCATGTCACCCTCGTACCGACGACCCCCACGTCGCCTCCCATTTAGATTCCACTTGAGCAATGGCCTGGCGCGCGATATCACTCGGCGGCCTCCTCAATGTATGTCCGATCTATCTCCACTTTCTCCTGCATATTTGTTGAGCGATCGACTCTCCCCTGTTGGTTTGTTCCCATAGTTTCTTGTTGTCTCGCTAGTTTTCTAGCCGGTCCCAAGCCCGGATAAAGAGGGAGGATTGGGCGTGGGGCTAGCAGCCCCACACCACTAAATCTTTCAAACCGCTAGAGAAACTTCAACACACAGAAAATATGTTAAAAATACAAGAACTTCAAATGACAACAATCTTATTCTTCGCTCGAATCGGAGAGGAGAAATGACACAGAAGGCTGGTGAAAGTCTTCGGGAAGCCAGTCATCAGCCAGCCGATGTGTCTTCTCTCGATGAAAGGAAAGCAAGAGTAAGAATGGCTACGTGAAATGCCCGTACAATGTAGGAGACTGGGAAGGCTGTCCAGGTAGCCAAGGAGATGCGAAGATATACAGCTCAGAAGTATTGGGTATCTGCGAAAGCAGATGGAATGAATGTGGATTGACAACATTGTCAACGAGAGAGTCAATAATCTACTCAGGTCACTCAGACGACAACCACGAACACACCGAGGCAGGGAGTGAGTGGCCATCATGATGTCACCATTAGTAAAATGAATTGATACGAAATAGCAAGTGAATTGTAATCACTAATAATAACACTGTGAAAATACAATATTTCTTCTTAGAAATTCCATTAACAACGTTAGCAGATATATGCTTCAGTGACACAGTTACATTTCCTACAAAACTAAGATATATTATTTTAATTGAATTTTAGATTCTCCCGTCGATTGATTGAACCGAAGTGCTCGGTCTCAGGTTGACATGTCGGCTTCTTGTGCAGATGCTTCGATGATGTCTGGGTATTTAATTTGTATTTAATTGGTGGATGGTGACTAGCAGTGGAATCCAGAATGCGCATTTCGTCCTATTTGGGACTCGTCATCTGGATGTACCTGCGGGAAAATCTAAAATTAAATTAATACGACCCGTTGCACAAAAGGTGGCTCTCGTGGCCCAAGTGGATAACGCTTTGGCGTTTGAAACTATGGGCACTGTGTTCGAGCCTCGGTGGGAACATCATCACTCACTGAGAAATGCAGGTACATCCAACTGGCGGACGAGTCCCAAATAGGACGAAATGTGGTGAATCCTGGATTCCACTGCTACTCACCATCCACCAATTAAATACTAAGATATATTAGTTACACGAACTCACTTTTTCATGCATATCGTTGTCAAATTCAGACCATTGGAATAGAAGTGAATCAGTTGGTGGACCGAATACATTAAAATCGATTATTTCAATATGCACTTGACCACTTTTCTAATTTGAACAAGGAGAAATCAAGAATTATAATCAATGAGTAAGTAGGTCAACACACACACGCACACATACCGATTGTTCCCTGTATAGATCAACTGTGTCTAGAGAATAGGTTAAAATAACTGCAGTAATAAAAAGAGAAATTTACAATTATCCAATTTGAAGTGATTTTTAATTTTTCGATTAAAGAATTCTATAAGATCATTCTTAATTTCATCTTGGTGGTCTTCTATCGACTTGAAGTATGCATCACATTTTCGTTGACATATACCTGAAAAAAAAAGTGGAAAAGTACATAGGTGAGTTTGAAATAATGGAGAATGGATTTGTAGCTCAGGTGGATGATATTGAATTAGTTGTGTTCTCTTAGCCGCTGGTTGATCTAAATTGCGAAGCTTTCGTCGTCCTTCTAGACAACATCCCACTTCAGCGCAGGTTTTAATACCTATATTTTTTATTCCTTTACGTTCCCAGCGGGACATAAGGCTTCAACCTAGAGGCTTGAAGTTTCGGTAGCAGTGGTGTTTATTTTTACCGGATGGAGTTGCTAGCCAGCCTCATGCCCAACCTTTCCTCTTTACCAGTCTTATTACTGGCTTAGCGAGGTAAAGGAGTGCTTCGGGTGGGAGTCGAACCCTGGGCCACCTCGATGGCTGGCGAGCGTTCTACCGTTGTGCCACTGACGCGGAAGGTTTTAATATAAGATAAACTTATTTGTATTCCCCATGAATGATGTAATTGTATCTCCTGGCAACCACTGTTGTGACTGGTTGTTGTTAATTTACGCGTCTATTGATCACTTTTATTGACTTGGAATTTAAACTTTCTTCTCATATGATTTATTTTTTATTAGTTGGTAGATTTCATCTGTATTAATGTGTTTATTAGTCAGTGATTCGTTGAAGTACCAGTGTGGTGAGAGCAAGCTGCCAGCCAATTGGTAGACATTGATCTACGCTGATTGGTAGAAATTAATCTAGGCTGATTCAACAACCGATCACAGCTGACCTAGACGTGGACAAATATGATTCGCAAACAAGTGGCTCGCATTTCCGAGAAATATTGAAAACGAGAAAGCAGAAGACTGCGTTTGTTTGCAAACAACCAATCAGAAGACCGCCTTCTTTCTGCGGGCAGAAGCCTATTAATGTACGTAAAATACATATAAATACCTGTTGGTTTTCGTAATAAAACTGATCTGTTGCCTGGCCCTTGTCTTCTGTTGTTACACCAGACTTCTCGAAATTAACCGACATTACTTTTGGTGTAGCCTCTGTTCAAAATTTTTCTGCATTCTCACAATTACTAAAGTAGTGACCTTAATTGTCTACATGCATAAATATGGAAGAATACATTATGTTATTGGATTGAGATTCGAAGGAGACACCCACTTTGACTGATGTACTGTTTATTTCAGTTCATACGATTTATTTTGTAAGTGGTATTAGTTTCATTTTCTTATTCTGTTGAACCTTTTGGTTTGCACACTGTCGAATGAAGTGATTGTGGTGGCTGTCTGGCTTGTGCTATATCTAATGTATGAACTGCAATAAACATTACATCGGTCAAAGTAGGCGTCCCCTTAGAATCCGAATCCAAGAACACAAATTGACTGTATAAAAGACTTGATATACATTATTTCGTATCACTGTATGTGGATAATTACGGACACCAATTGGACGATTAGGAGAATATAGACATTTTAAATAAACGAAACAGTGAAACTGTAGTCAGGGAATTTCTAGAAGCCTGGCACTCAGATGAATAAGCATCAAATGACAAACACGCATTACTACAGACCAAATTTACCACCAGCTAATAAAAAGTAAATGACATGACAAAAAAGTTCAAATTCCAAGTCAATAAAAATGACCAGTAGAGACGTAAATTAGCAACAACCGGTCACGACAGTGGTTACCAGGAGATACAATTCCATCATTCATGGGGAATTTAAATAAGTCCATTTTATACTAAAACCTGCGCTGAAGGGGGCTGTTGTCTGGAAGGACGACGAAAGCTTCGCAACTAAACCACCAACCAGCAGTTCAGAGAACACAACTAATTCAAAACTGAGTTTATACTTATACATATGCATAGAGCTTCAAGCTACAGCTTTGAAATTTCGATAGCAGTGAACTTATTCTTACGAGATGACGTTGCTAGTATTACACACAACAACCGCCCCCCGTCTTTACCGGGCTTGCAGCCAGCTAAGCGAGGTTTAGGAGTGCGTTGGCCGAGCATTCTACCTCTACGCCACCGACACAGTATATGATATATATGCTCTTGGATAAATATAAATTGAAATTAAATCAAAATACACTTGGAAACATCGATAAGGTCATTGGAGAAAACAAAGAATAACACCATTTTGTAGTATGAATATTCTAAGCAGGTTATTTTATAATGTCAAACTGAATAATACAGAGGTGATTCTACTACAGATAACTTTTTTGATATTGAGTTGAGAAAACGAATTCAGCAAAACATTGGAATAATGAATTCAACCAGTAGTGCTTGCCAGCTAGCCGAGTCGAGGTGATCTGGACACCACCAGACTGGCGTTTCACTCATTTCGGGACCAGATCATCAGCGGTGTACCCGATTTGACTTACCTCACTCAGACACCTGAATTCTTGGGCAGCTACTTAGGCGAACTGGTGACACCATAAATCAGCCTCACAATTTGCATATTGGTTAGCAATTTGTCATGTACACAATCTGGGTGGTTTGAACTGGCCCGGCGCTTTGAGCTGAGTCAAACCGGGTATACACCCCCTGATGAGCTTGACCCCACCCGTCCAGTGTTTAGATCACCTCGGTCTGGCTGACTGGCAAGCACTACTGTGAAAATTTCACCACTCGACTTGTGTACATGACAAATTAAATTGCTAATTTAGTTTGTAAATTGTTTAATTTGAAGTAGATATGAGTAACCGGTGGTTTGTTTGATCTTTACCTCTATTTACTATTCGTTTGAAATCTGATGGCTAGTCAAATTGTTTTTACAAAACAAAATAGCTGATGGGACCTTTGCTAGTAACCACCTTAACAGGACTAATATGGACCAACTTTTACGCATTACTGAGATCAATCATAAATTCCAGAGTCACAGTTACGGGACTATTCTAAACCCGATGCATTTCAACAGGTATCGCTTGTAACGGTAAGTTTTGAGTGAATATACGTAACAGTCTGTCTGTCTGTTTTCGACACAGAACTTTGCACCGATGTGCAGCAGTTCAATTCGCCACACTCCATGTAGCACACAAAGCAAGAGAAGGAAGTACAAGAAATGCAGAGTAGAGACAGTAGACAGGGATATCCCGGCCGATAGCTGCTACCTTGACGTGCTGGTCGGGCTTGCATATCGCAATGACCCAACGAGCTACACTGGCTGGAACGTATGTTCCTGTAGGTCCTACCATGCCAGAAAGGTTGTTTGGATAGCGGTTAGACAAAAAGCAGTTACCCAATCCAACACTATGATTCAAAGAAATCCACAAAATATCACATGCCGGATCGGTCGGGGCTCGGATTAACAACGACCGCGCTTTCTGCTGCCGTGTCACAGGGCAGAAGTGATAAATATGCTACTGAGACACACCAAATGAATAAGAACAAACAAAAACAGGCCGCGTGTGATCGGCCTCAAGCAGTTGTCCCCTGGGCTCTGCAGTCACGCAACACTAACCTTTTCTCTATTTCAGGTACCCGAAGACCGACCGACCGAGACAAGGATACGAGACAAAAGGAATAGTAATAACGAAGAACAATATAATTTTATTGGATATTGTAAATCACAAGGAGTGGATGCATCTGCGCCAACCATTGAGAACGATTTTGAGCCATATCACCGATTGTCTCCAGCCTTCATTGGTTTTTACCCTCCCAAAGACCCCAACTAGGAAGTTTACACCTTCCTATGTGACCGGCTTAAACTAACTGTTGTAGATTTCATTGACTGGTGCCATGTATTGTTCTGACCGCCGTTAGCTCTTTTCCAGCCTGAGCCTATGTCAGGTAATATTGCCCGTCGAGGAAGGCGATGGCTACACATACGTAACACATGTCCTAACCATCTCAGTCGATGTAGCTTCACAGCCTCGTCGATTGATTTTACCCCCTTACCTAGCACTCGACACCTAACCTCAATATTTCTCACCCCATTACACCACTTCACACAGGAGATAGAATGCAGGAACCTATGATCAAATACAGCTAACCTTTTCGCGTCTTCCACTCTCAATGGCCATGTCTCACGTAACAGTGGTATTCAACTGAATACTGCAACTAGCATACTTCCGCTTACATCAATATAGCAACTGAATAGTCTAAGCATACAGTTGCAGTATCATCGATAAAAAAACCTTACACAATAAAATGTAATAAATGAGTGATTAAATAAATTTAGCTAGTAATTGCACTCATCCATTTTGTGAATGTCTTGTATACCATTTGGTATCACTAGCTTGTTGATAATTTTAAAGGTCAATCCGAAATGCACGCGAAACCTATATACACTTGAAGTCCTTTCTTTGCCGCTTCGCCTGCCTGCAAGTCTTCCAATTTGTGCAACATCAGACAAATCATCCACGAGATTCACATCCTCTAGAGTCTTCTTATCGTTCAGAGAATGCTTGTCTTCTCGTTCTCCACAAATCTGGCGCATAATTCAGAAGCCTACTAATATTAACTAAACGAAATCAATGAACCACAACACTACGCGGCATACATACATACGAGCTAACAGTTGAATGAAGAACTTACTTACCTATGAGGACTTTCGATTTCACAAAACACCGGAATTCCCCTTCTGGACGAAAATCATACCACTTCCGGAGAACAAGAATCGGTTTAGAAGTGAAAAGGCAACAGGCTTCTTCAACTGTTGTGTCTGCACACAAAGCATAACTACACAAATTTAAATAAGATTCTGTATTAGATTTCTACGCATATATACACATTACGGAGCAGTTAAGTCATGTGCAGCAAAATCTGATGATTTGAGGAGTAAATAGATATCTGAAAATGTTCTACACCTTAGTGAATTGTCACATGACATCCAAGATGCATCCTGAAACAGAAAAGAAGAGAACAATTAACAAGGTATTATTACACCTACACTCGGAGCGCTCCAATTCAATTTAGGAAATACAACACCGCCTAACTTCTGGATGATATTTTTCAAATGAGATTCGAACTGGGGAAATTCAGGTCTCTAAATACAGTTTTTTTCTCCTCCCAATGTTGTTTAGATACTGATTACCTCTGTACGAACGCCATCATCATTTTCATCATTACCAGCACAGTCTGACCAGTCCTCCTGAAATGATAAAAAAACACATATGAAAGTGAAATAAAACAGTGTTCAAATTACTGTATTGAATATTTGACGTAGAGATTTGATTATCTGTGTATTATGAAGCTTCTATTTTTAATATATATTTATGCGTTGAAGTTTCTGTAGTAATTTGGTTAAGTTTTGGGGGTGGAGTTGCTAGCACCACGCCCCAACCCTACTTCCTCCTTATCCAGGTTTGGGACCGGATAGAAAACTAGCGAGCTAGTAATCTAGGCGAGGCGGATTTTGAATACAAACGTAAAGTCAGTTTTTCTATACGGATCAGAAACTTGGCGGGTCACAAAGAATATTTCCAACAGCTTGTTGCAGAACTTTATCAACAACTGTCTTCGCTCTATACTCAAGATCAGATTGCCGGAAAGAATCACCAACAAGAAACTATGGGAACAAACAAAACAAGAACCAATCACCCAACAAATATGCAGGAGAAAGTGGAGATGGATTGGACACTCGCTGAGGAGACCGCTGGGCGACATCGCGCGTCAGGTCATTGCTCGAGTGGAACCCGAAAGGGAAGCGGCGAGTGGGACGTCCAAGGGTGACATGGAGGAGATTGTGTGAAGCGGAGTTGAAACAGTATGGATTAACATGGATGCAGGTGGAAAGTACAGCAGAAGATAGAAGCAAGTGGAGACGTGTAGTTGAAGCTCTATGTCCCACTAGGAACCCAAGAGAACAACAATAATAATAATAAAGCTTTTAAGCAATATGCATCTTTAACAGCTCCTCAGTTCATAATCAAAACCTGTGCAGTTCACTGAACAAATGAAGATAACTATGAGTTGCTAATAAAGTAAATGAGTGGGATATATGCGTGAATGTGGCTGTGTTAATGCAGTATGGATTTTTAGATTTCGACAAGCTAACTCATTTTCAATGCATATTAGCTAGGGAAGGAGTATTGTATCCAGAGAAGATAAGAGCCTAAGTAACGGTTTTTTATCAAGGAAAAACCATCATCCATTTACACTCTTAGCTACATTAAAGTTCGCCAAAGAAAATAAATTGTTCTGATTGGTTGGTAACCGGGCTAAAGGTTAAACCAACTGTCCAATGAAGTTATATTCCATGTCCACAAAGTAAGCTAAATCCGGATTTGACAAGTAAACCTTTCTATCTTGGCAGGCATTTATTTAAAAAATGTTGATTTCAGTTTTGGCCGCTTCCTATCAATCCGCATTACGCTACAGTGTTGCTTTTCCCACTACTGTTTGAAAGATATTCAGTCATAGGCGGCTATGATAACAATCTTTCAAAAAGATGGACACCTATTATGGTGCATAAAAGTGTAGCCATATACAGACAGAGATTAGCTTTGCCTAATGATGCTGGCTGAAAAACTTTCATCCGGTAACTAATCGTTCCTGATAGACAGCACTTCTTTCACTACTAAGGATACTCTACACTTTGGTCACTTTTCTGAACTCATGAATTCTTTACATTGGGCTGTTTGGTGAGGTCACTGCTGGAGTGTAATGTGTTAGCATACATAAATACTTGTTTAAATATATTTAGTTACTCCAGTCGTTTTCAATCCTGCAGGCCTTAGTATAGTACTGTTATCTATACACGTTTTGGTCAATTCAGTGATAACCTTGGAGTACATAATTATTAGACGCGGTACACCTGACAGATTGAAACCAGTTTCATATCACCATTTGGGTGTACCAACCACAAGTTCAATCTATACCAAAAACTGCTAATGAATAACGGCATATCTCTTTGACTTTCTGGTACACGTCATACAACTGGAAAGCATTAAATACCTCACAATCTAAACAACGGGGTCAACTAAAGCACAGGTGCACCGACTTACTCTGTATTATACTAACTAGTGGGGCACCTTCTGTGTGTGCAACATGATGGTACTACCTATGTCGAAAAAGTGTGATGTGATGGTATGTGGTTGATATTCTTAAAGCAATAAAATAAAATTTCATTTTGTCAATTAAGTTAATAAAACACTTCTCATTACTTACATCGCTTGAATCCGATGGATACCTTGTTTCTTTCGCACTAAATATAAGAATAAATAAATAAATATACGTGACATTAATTTTGTACAATAATAAAGATAGATAGATAGATAATAAAGACTAAAATATATCCGTTTCAAGGACACAAAGATATCATTCACAGTGGTATATTTTAAATTATCCAGTTGTTGTATCCACATTTTCAATTCAATGGGTATACGGAAGATTTAGAATACCAAAAGTTCGCTTAAGCAGCTACTGCGGCGCGTCAGTGATTACAGCTTGCATTCAGAAGAAAAAGCGTACCTAAACTAGCCCATACAATGATAAGAACAAAATTTTTACAAAAGATTCATTGAGAACAGTAAAATTAGAACGCTATAAATGATTTGTAAAGCAACCAGTAGATCAATGTAAGACGGCCTAGGATTGCATCAGTTTAAGTTTTTTCACGCTTTGGAGAAGCATCCAGAATACGGTAATAAAAAATAGAACATCAAATTTTCGAAGTGAAATTTTTACCATTGTTGCTTGTAGAAGACCAATGTACCTAAGTCATAATGTGATTCGCTTGATACTGTAAACAACATGGAGAGCCAGCAGAAAAATAACACGGCACATATTAACAGTTAATATGAGTAGTTGAGGCGTCGGTCGCACAGCGGTTAGGACGCTTGTCGAACATGCACATGGTCCGGGGTTCGATCCGCGGCCGAAGCACTCCTTTACTTCGCTAAACCAGAAATAAAGTTGGTAAAGAGGAAAGGTTGGGCGTAAGGCTAGCAACCCCATCCTGTAAAAATAAACACTGCTACAGAAACTTCAAGCCTCTAGCTTGAAGGCACCCTATGTTCCACTGGGAACGTGAAGGAATAAAAAAACTGAGTAGCTGATAGCCAGTCGCAAACCAGAAAGAAGCAAGCAGCTGTAGTTCAGTATGCCAAGCTAATTAAATTTGAGTATAGTGCTGAAATCGACCTCTGTAAGAACGAGACAACCATCTTACAACAAAGTTGTCTACATTTAGCTGGCATGACAGGATTTTGACTACTAGTATATATCGGTTGCGTTGCACAGGACCTAAAAGTTGGGCAAGGTATTCAATAGACAACGTGCCATTATTGCTAAATGGACCCTACAGTACTTTCATCACTAACTGTATACTACTAGCATTTCTAGGCTAATCAAAGCATGGATAATTTTATTTATCTATTTCCGCAGCGACATGATATATGCAGGCTTTTAAAATAACTCCAATAGGATCAGTACAGTGATAGCCATTAAATTCAAATATTTGTGGTATTGAAAAGTCCTGAAACCTCAAGGCAGCCACAGAGAATAATTTAAGATGGCAATGAAAATGAAATACCCATTATCAGAAATAGGATATCTAATTAATGAAGAGACTTTTACTTTGAATGAAATATTGATCACTCACCTTTTTGGTAGAATAAACTCATCATTTGTTAGAGAGTTTATAAGATCTTCTGGAAGGTCAACAAATACACTGGGAAGGGGGCCATCACAGCAGCACTAATTCAACATACCTTTCTTGTGTATAATTTTTGAAAGTATGATACCACGAGTTGAAAGCACATTGTTTGACATCTTCTGCTTTCATTATAAAATGTAACAACCTTGAGCAAAATCAAAATATAATGAAACGCACTACGATTAAGGAATGAAGCGGACGGTCAAATTATAGTGAGAACAGTGAAAATGTTTTTCCGCGTATATATATATATATATATCACAGTAGCAGAAACTGGATTGACGCACTATAAATACATTTGCTAGGAAAACAACACGAAACAAAGCTTTCTTCTGAATCTGGACTAGCGGGGCGTTTGTTAAGAATTAGGAAGAATACAAGGAATATTATCAGAGGTAAAGGTATGTGGGACAACAGATAATCAAAAACCTAAAAGTAGACGACCTTCCACACTAAAGGTTGTAGTGACCCGTTTTACTACTCATCATCGCAGTATGCTTTCACTATGTAATTGTACTTTGATTTGTTTATTACTCTAAATCTTGCATGTTAACAATTGATACTTTTGTACTCGCTCGATTTTTGAATTGTTGATTGCTGCAATAATACACTATCGTATTCCTTCGCAAGTGCCTTTTGAATTACGTTGTGGATGTCGAGTAATCGCAACGTTAGGTCACAATTATAAACGCGAAGAAATACTAGAAGATACGTGTACTCTAGTTCAGTCAAAATATAGCAGCAACAAATTGGCGAGCCCGACAGAGCTGATTGATGGACTACATCATTTCGAAGTATACACAGTGGAATAAATCATCTTTGCCATCGCATTAACTTTTATAACTTCATAACATTTGGATGTATAATTACTGATATTTCTGCTTAAAGTACCTCCGGACCTGGCGGCACAGCGACTGCTATCCCAGTTCACCCTGATACTCAAGCAGCTGGCTGTTATGCAACACCTCAATTCCAGTTCTCTGTCCTCAAGCTTCAGCATTGTCTACAGGTGTGCAAACACTCTTACAATGGTCTGCAACTCCATTTACTCAAGCCGGTCCTACAGCTGTTCAATTACAACAGTTTATCCAATCACCTCAACAACAACAACAGATTCAAGCACAAGCTCATCAGTTACAACCAGCTCAACAGCCAACTTATATCCAACAACATCAGCAACAACCAACGATGATGGCAACTGACGTCTCTGTCAGTGGTCAACCTTGTACTGTAGCTGCACGCTCCTATGCTACTCCCCAGTTTATCACTGGCGCCAGGAGCTCCATTAAAAGTTATGACTGTTGTTCCTAACGGTCAGCTGATTCAAACCACTGGTTTACCACAGCTTGTGCCAACTGCTCTTGTTGGAATGGCTATCAATCAACCAACTTCTACTCTCCAACCTCAGCAAACATCAATTCAAGTTACTCCTTAACGCCGAGTAACAACACCCCAGCAACAACAACATGCTGACGGACGTTCACTTTCAACCGTATCAGCAGCAGCAGCAGCTACTGCTGCACTCTTCTCTGGCACAGCCATCTCTTTTTGTACAATTCCACTTGTACAACCAGCTTTCATGGAAATAGAGGTAACTGAATGTTTACCCAAGTCATTCCCATACTTCCTTATTACTATGCTATTAACGGTATGTTAAGATTTAAATCAATTCTATAACTCCATACAATAACAACCTCATTATTATTCTAATAATAATTTTTCTGCTTTTATTGTTACATTTTGCACAACTTTCTAAACATTTTGGTTCGTTTCGAAGTTGTTAACATTTTTGCAAATATACAGTTTTATTATCAAACCTCAAAATCCTCAATTCGGTTTTCATACCAGAAACTCGTATATATTTCTTCTATAATTGTAATTTACAATATTATTCCGAATACAGGTAAACTTATTTACCTGCATTCTACAGAGGGGCTATTGTAGTGACCCGTTTTATTACTCATCATCGCAGTATGCTTTCACTATGTAATTTTACTTTGATTTGTTTATTACTCTAAATCTTGCATGTTAACAATTGATACTTTTGTACTCGCTCGATTTTTGAATTGTTGATTGCTGCAATAATACACTATCGTATTCCTTCGCAAGTGCCTTTTGAATTACGTTGTGGATGTCGAGTAATCGCAACGTTAGGTCACAATTATAAACGCGAAGAAATACTAGAAGATACGTGTACTCTAGTTCAGTCAAAATGCAGCAGCAACAAATTGGTGAGCCCTACGATAACTTGCTGACTCCGACGACGACGACTTTTGACCTCGACGCGTTCTTACACTTGTTGGATTAATAAAACTTTAACCTTCGTGGATCTATATATTTATTAGATATTCCGAACTCATTCTTGTGTTTACTCATCGCACTACAAAGTTTCCAGATTTATTGTTCTACATCTGCTTCGCAATTACTCTTCAACTCTACTTGTATAAATCTCTGGATGTTTCTAAAAGAAGTTTTTATAGAGGAAGCAAACAGTTCACAGCAGTTGCTTTCGATACACAATCACATCTGAAGGTAGAAAGGATAACAATTACAACACTGTACAAATCAATGGATTCCTTATAAAATAAACCATCTTTCAACTAAGTTATAAACGATTTATTTTTTATTTTTTTATATTTTTGGTTACAGCTTGATGCCACACCGTATTTTCAGTACAAGTATGGAATTTTCAGCTTGGATATCGGTATCCCAAATTTTGCAGGCCGACCAGAGATATCGGGTGTGCGTCGGCAGGGGATCGAATCTCGGACCATGTGCATGGCCGGCGAGAGTCCTAACCACCGTGCTACCGACGCACAAAAAAAGTAATATGTGCATACATTACTTCTGATACTGACACATGATGTAAAGTTATAAAAGGTTGATAATAACAGTGTGCCAAACAATCCCCGCAAAATACTAAGAGAATAGACCAAATAGAGTAATTAGACTGTGTTTTCAAAAATCAATTACGGAAAAATGAACCAGAGTTATTTGAAACTTTTCTACCATTAATTTGCAAGCCACTGTGTCTAAAACTGTAAAATTTTGAATGCCTTGTTAAATTTGAAAGGCAGTTTTGCGTATTGCACATAAAGGGTCATAACAACGAAAGGTCTTGCCCTAAATAAAGAACAATCAGTAACTCACGCCTTTGTAAGACAGTTGACCTTGAGCTCTAACTACGCGGCTAGAGTAAACAATATACACCTAAGTTAAATGACCTTAATTTGATCAATCAGATAGCTCAGCATTACAAATGGTTCCCAGTCATAATCCTCTTTGAAAGAGTCGCCTAGATTTGGTTTTTGACTTCTCTGCAGATAATGTGTTGATAGGGAGTAATAAAACATGCATATGTGAAGGGATAACTCTGGAAAAGTATTGCCGGGCTATTGATGGTTATACATTCAGATGCAACCACGTTATATTAGGAAGTCTGTATAAGTTGGTAAGTCGTATATAACTGGTGATTTTTTAGACACTTTCCTCTCGAAACCAAACTCTCCCTTAGTGATATATTGCGTATATGCAGCCAGTATCTGCTACAGCTGGAGAAATAGGGAATACATTGGTTTGATATGTCTATTAAAACTTCTATGAGAATCTGGGACCAGTTTTCGCAGCATGTTAGAGATATATACCCTATATGGTTCATTTTTACTACATATATTATAGATACACTTCTTTGTAAATTAAGTACCACTTTTCACCTAGAAGAATCTGATTGACTGTTTCAAGGTCGTCTGGTGTCTATTCTTTACTGTTGCCAACTACGCTTCCTCAGGCAGCCAATCAGACTAAAAACGTTCGTCCTTCATTGGTATATTTCTGCCATTCTATATCCAATATCTATTTTCTGACTGCTCTTGGGCAAAATAGTTTTATTGCCCCATTACTTCCCATTTAGCCTTCCTATTTACCTGTTAAATTTTAGGGGCAGTTTTTAGTCATCAATTAGGTTATTTTCCTGTTCTGGAAGAAATTAGTACTTTCACCAGCTCCTACTTAGGTGAGCTGGATGAGAATTAGACGATATCAAAATGGTATATAAGGTAATATACAACACAGGTACTGTCACCGCAAGATTTCATAGCCTCTCTTTAGAGTCTTTTACTGGTGGTGCCGCAGTTACAGTTGCCGATAGTGAGTTCGACGTTAATGAGACTAGAATCGGTAGCTCACACGAGCCCATGCCATTTGACAAGCATTTTTTGCATGTTTCAGAGATGGATAATAGAGTGGCGTGGTGATTAGCTCTTGACCTTTGTAGCCAAAACAAAGCTAGCTGCGACTAGATAAGAAGAGACTCTGTTTCCCACAGATCTAATGTAGAAGCATTTCATGATTGTGTAAGACCTTTACAACACTACTATCCCTCAGAGGTGGTCGACAATTAAGGAAGGCGTAAGGATGAGACGTGCAGAAATGAGCAAGAGACTGCATACTATGCAAGAGAGCGAAACAGACACTAATTGTCCCCTCTGGAAACATTTGACCTAATGCTCGCTCCTCTCATGTTCATGTGGATTTAGTAGGTCCCTTACAATACTCCAATGGATTCACTTGCTTGGTCACATGCATCGACGTGTTTACCAGGTATCTCGTAGCCGCACAACATGCTGTTATTACAGCCGGAACCGTGGTGAACGTCTTCCTTTACCACTGGGTAACCACAATTGGCCTGCCTATAACAATAGGCACAGACAGAGCTTTTCAAGAAATTATCGAAGTTTCAAGGATCACACAGAATCCGCTGCAAAGCATATCATTCTCAAGCCAATAAGGTGACAGAACGCTTTCATGGACAAACGAAGGCCGTGTTCACATCTCACTGTGACTCTTCTCATTGGGTGGAATTTCTTCCAACGGCAACGCTTGGTATTCGAACATCAGTTAGAATCTATGCCCAGTGCTCGGCAACAGAAATAGTATTTGGAACTAAGTTGAGACTCCCTGGAGAGTTAATCGGTATCAGTACTGAAAAAGAAAAACTTGACCGGACTGCAAATGCTGATAGATTTCGACTACAAATGGATATCCTAATACCAGTTTCATCACGAGAATGGTCAAGAGTGGTCTACATGCCTAAGAACCTGGATTCCTGTTCACATGTATGGACGAGATGCGGAAGACCACAACCACGTCTCAGCCCACCATGGGAAAGTCTGCAAGGCATTCGAAACACTTCGAGATTTAGCGGGGCAATACCACAGTGTTGGTATTGACAAATTAAAACTTGCCTATCTGGATGGCGACCCTCCTTACGAAGTTAATGAAAAGCTCCTACAAACCGCGCCCAGTTACTCATGTACTGCCGAGTCAAGTGCGAAGACCGATAGGCGAGTTAAATGAGCTGAAACTTTGACTCAAGAAAAGTTTCCAGAAAAGGTGCGTAATAATTAATCGACAATTTTAACACGTAAACATATGGGCCTTTTATCGACCACTTGATTCGAAATGGAAAATAAAGGAATTCGGTGCAAAAAATAAGAATAAATGTGAATTGTTTATTTCTTCTGTTGTCTTTTGACTCTTAATATCACATTACCTTAAAATACATTTTGGTGAAGTGTTATTTTTGAGCAAATCAAATGGCATTGCTATAACGGCAGTGTAACACTGCACCAAACGATTACGCGCAGACAGCATATTTTTTCACTTTTGAGTTATTCTATCCTCCTGATAACCAGTCTGAACTGCGTTGAGTACAAATTAAGTGCCCTATTTCCCTCCACAACCAAGCTCTTTCAGAATATGCCCGAAATAGTAAAACAAATCCGAAGAAAGTAGTTAAACACCGGAGATGGTAGGAATGAAACCAGAGCTATGGAAATTAAGACGACTCTTCCCCATGTCATGGTGATATATTTATTACTCAGCTTATTATTGTAGATAAATATATATGTTTTTGAACACCCTTTAGTTAACTTTCTTTTTGTGGAAAGGCAGGTTGTTCTACTGTTTTAGTCAACTGTTCCAAATGATTCAGGTATAAGTGCCTTCATAGCATTAAGATGATGTTCCACATAGTCAGCATTTAACGTAACAACTTACGTAGTAATGGCGCTAAAACTATTTCCATGCTCATAAGCAGTGTAAAATGCTAAACTAAAATAACGGATTCCTCTAACATTCTTCGTCGACTGAACATAATAGGACACATACGACGCAGTCATACATTACAACTACAATGGACAAAACGTTGGATTTCAAGGTTTTATAAGCAAAACTTCTAAATGACAATCAGCAGACATAGAGGAGTAAATTCTCATACGCTTCTTTTGTCTCACGCATCGTTTCATCATAGGGCAAAACTCACCAAAGACTTCAGTAACAACCGTATTTTATTCAACCACGGTTTGATTTAAATCGTTAGCTACACATACCATGGTTGAAAATCACGAATGCATTTAATTATATAACTCTTATCCATCAGAGTGTCCCCGTATTAATTTGAGTATATATATATATAAAGTAAAAGACAGTATGGACAGAAGACAAGCGTCAGGCAACTGATCGCTTATTGAGGAAGTCAAGAGATACTTATATATTTTTATGCAAATTATTACTCTTTATTATTAGCAGAGAAACACAGCCTTCTGATTGGCTGTTTTCTCTCTGAAAGTTATTCCGTCATCTCTTTGGGGCCATTTCTTTGAAGGTCAGACAATATATCTGCGAATCTTATCCACCCACGCAAAGTCTGCTGTGATTGGTTGTTGAGTTAGTCTTTGTTCTTGTCTCATTACCAAGATTTGGGATGTAGACATTGACGCAAATTGCTGTCTACCAATTTCGGCTAGCAGACAGCTCTCACCACTTACCTACATGCATATTAGTATCATTAAATTGATATAAGTTCTTTGGTTTTTATACGCTTGCACTGTTTCATTGATGGCTTTTGAAACCACCTTTTTTGTCACAACACAGCAACACAGCATAGACATATTTCGTATTTCCGGTGTGGTGTATTAATGCAGACACGGCGAAACGTACTCATTTATCTGCTCACTGTATAAGCTTTATTCTCTAGTCCATGATAAATAATAGGTAGTGAAAGTTGGGCGCGAAACCAACTCCCAGCTCTGCACTCAGACTACTAGCAATGACTTAAGTTTACTGTGTGTACGTCTATAACCATATGGCCAAATCACTATAGTCTAGGGTTGGCAGATTTCAAGCGAACTACTGTCATGATGTGCATACATTAGAAAATTATGACATCTACTTAAATAATAACAAAGAACAAATAGAGTAATCGAACCGCCCTCCGTTACTTCGCATACATTAATGATTATTTCTGAGTGTATAATTGTCTTCTTATATGCACCAAAGCTTTAAACTCACGACCAGCTACCGCTAATAAAATCATTCAGAGAGTCATAAGCTGTGGTTGTTCGTTAGGAGGTTAGCATAAACTACGTTATAACATTTTCATGCCTATAAACTTAACATTAATTAAATGTAATGTGTCGTACCTCCATCATTTTTAGGCACCGTATTGTGAGCTCCTACATTTCGTCAACGCACGTCTGATGACCCTATCCGCACCATCAGGCTTGGAAATATTGGCCAACATTCAGTCGTAGAGTGAACCCATGCCGTTCATCACCCAGGAATTCAACATCAATGTTCGTCCATATACTCATTTATTAAACCTACAGAAATAATGATTTTTTATTTTCCTAAGTTTTGCCTGGGATTTAGAGTTCCTGCACTTCTTTTTATTTTTTCGTCTTTCAGAACACAGAATTTCGTAGCAAATCCGAAGTCATGAAGACATTAACTACTAACTTACCTCGAAATTTCTTCATTTGTACCAGTTGTTTATTTTTTTGTGCTGACAGTGAAGCACTCTTCGGGATGTGAAGGAATCTTCTTTTTTCAGATAGCCTCCTTTATCCTTCTATTACTGTAGGAGTCCCCTGTTACTTGCGAGTAGACGCCTATCCAATGGTCACAGCCAACGCGGCAGTTGCTCACGTAGTTCCTTTCTCAATTTATCCTTGTTTCACCTGCTGTCTCAGCACTAGGTTCTCGTCTCCATTTGTCAATATCTCAGTCAGGAAACCAAAAGCAGTCAACCAGAAAATATCAGATAACCACCAGCTAGCGAGAAACATGAATACGACAGCAGTATTTCGAACGAGGGGTCGACAGAACCGTCACCTCCTAACATC